AAACGGCGTAAAGAAGGCCAAACTTCTTTGAATTGATCCCTTGCCCGGTAAGAGAAGACATGAGCGACAGGTGTCATCCAGCGACTGTTCGCATCAAACAAAATATAATTCTCGAAACATAGAATAATAGAATATTAAACCACTGTGGACAGTTAAAACCTTAGACGAGTCAGTATTTGAGGCATATGGGAAAACGAGGTGGGCAAACAATGGAGATTTTGTCAGTGATAAACACGGGGATCATACACGCTGGACGGAGAGAAAAATGAAAGTGTATGATTGATACTAAACCAAGACATGAAGAAAATGCGTTCTGAGATACTGTCAATTATCTGAAAGAGATTTCAGAAATGCAAATGTACCCACTGTGGTATTTTATGCACACACCAAGCGTACGGATAAGAAGAACATATACACACTTCATTTAACCTCTTTTTATATCCTTTCTGTTTTATTTTGCTAAAGTATGTTTGTTACATGTGCAAGATTTTTTGTAATTTCATTCCTATCTCCTGCTCGATAAAAAATCCCTTGCGACCAAAATGCTATCACTATTATTCACAACATTACCCATCTCAACTATCAGTTGATCACAACAGTAAAACATCCACCCAAAGAATTAAACTGGTTACACTGTCTCGATTTTAACCGGTATTATTATTATTACTATTATTATTATTATTATTATTATTATTATTATTATTATTTTATTTTCTTTGATTTCTGGCGTTTACACATTTCTTTCCGGGTCCCGCCCAGGGACCTAAGGTTAGAAATGGCATCATGACACTTTCCACTGACAAAAAAAAAAAAATTACATAGATAAAGCCCTTCGTAAAGTGTGGGCTGTACTTGTCAGAACAATTTTTTGTATCTCCTTTAGGCATGGACTTCCAGGAATCCCTTCAATTAGTCTACTGCAATCTTTTCCAACCAGTCCTAGGGCTCCAACTACAACAGGGATTGTTGATGTTACCATATGCCACAGTTTCGAGATTTCTATTTCAAGGTCCTTGTATTTTGACAGTTTTTTGAATATCTTCAAAGATACATTGCAGTCAGCAGGGACTGCCATATCAATAAGGAGGCACCGTTTTTGTTTGTGGTCTTTGATAACAATATCTGGGCGGTTGGCCTTGATTGTTCTGTCAGTGTGTATTGTGTAATCCCATAGAACTGTAACAGGTCCTATCTCCGTAACCGGGTCTGGGTGGAGTTCATACCAGTTTCTTTCAGTTTCCTTCCCGTAGAAGTTGCAGATTTTCCACTGCAGATATTGGCCCACTCTATCATGTTGGGTTTTATATTCAGTGGGTGCCAACACTGTACAACCTGATACAAGATGATCAATCGTTTCTGGATATTTATCACAGAATCTGCATTTTGGGCTGACACAATATTTTAGTATATGTGCTTGATAATTCCTAGTTAGCAAGCATTGGTCCTGCGCAGCAAGGATAAAACCTTCAGTTTCCGCTTTCAACCCTGCACTGCGTAGCCACTGATGGGTACGGGTTTTGGCTACATCAGCTTGTTTGGTACGGGCAGAGTATTGACCATGAAGTGGTTTATCTTGCCATCGCTTATGTATCTGGTCGGTTGCATTCGTCTTTGCTGTCTTTTTTAAGTATTTTGCAGTTTCAGCCGGTGTATTGTGCTGTAGTTGCATCTCTACGCTCATTTGAAACTCCATTTTGAATTTGTTGGCTTCTTTCATTACGGAGTAAAGACGCTTACTACTTTCATGTTCCTTGACGCATACCATCATCCAGTCTTCTGTAGTTTCCAAGTATCTTTGGAGGCCAATTGTTGTAGTTTTGTAGGACAGTTCTAGTTGAACTAATCCTCTGCCTCCTTCGGATCTGGGCACATACAGACGATCAACATCAGCTTTGGGATGATGCATGCGATAACAAGTGAGAAGCTTTCTCGTTTTGGCATCCATTCGCTTAATTTCAGCTATCGTCCAGTTAAGCATATTAAAGCTGTATTGCACCACAGGGACAGCCAATGTGTTTATAGCTGATATTCTGTTTTTTGAGTTTAGTTCAGTATTTAGTACCAGACGCACACGCCTGTAGTACTCTTTTCTTATTTTTTCCTTCATTTGGAGGTGTTGTATGCCATCTTATAAGCTTCATCATGCTCCAATTCCCTAATCTTTGTGACAAAATCTAAATCTATTAAGGGTGGTTATGTAATTCTACCTTTCTTGAAAGTTACTTTTGCACATTTATCTAATCCGAAGTCCATACCTATGTCGTCACTGAAGTATTTTACAATATTGAGGAGGCTTTTCAACTCATTGTCGTCTTTGGCAAAGAGTTTGAGATCATCCATGTAGAGTAGGTGATTGAACATTTTCTTATTTATTTTGTAACCATAGCTACTGTTGTTCAGTTCATGTGTAAGATGGATTAAGGATAAACAAAACAGAAAGGGTGACAGAGAGTCTCCTTGAAAGATTCCACGTCGGATATTCAGACGGTTGGATATGGCAGTGCCCACGGTGTGACTAAGGTATAGTTTGGTGTTTCACATTCCCATGCTGTGCTTAAGGAAATTTAATACCACAGGGGAGACTTTGTACATCTCCAAAGTCTTAAGGATCCAAGAATGTGGAACACTGTCAAAGGCTTTACGATAATCAATCCACGCTGCACTTAGATGTCTGCGTCGTCTCCTGCAATTTTCCAGGATCATTTTATTTATCAGAAGTTGATCTTTGCAGCCATATGAACCTCTTCTGCATCCGTTCTGTTCCAGCGGGAGAATGCTGTTTGTTTCGAAAAATTATTATTATTATTATTATTATTTTGTACTAAAATAACAGTCAATAACAGAGATATTTAAAGAACGAATTAAATGATGAGATATCGTTTTTTTGTGTGATTGTTTTTGCATAGAATCAATTTCTACTAGTAAAAAATTATCCCTGCGTTTGAAATTAATAATTCAATGACGTATCACAAATAAAGTAGATAAAAAATAAGTGAACTAATAAAACAAAAGACACGTTTACATGCATTCGTGCGGAGAAAAATATCCGAAACAGTGAAAGAAAGCATGGTCACATTCTTGATTAAATATTAATGGAATAATCAATAACATTTGATTTCTTTCTGTTGCTCTTTACTCAGTGATGCATTATGAAATATCATCCATTTGTTGTTTACTGTAAAACGCCTTAACGAAAACTAGTTGTGAATCTTCAAATAGTAATCAATTTCTATTAAATATGTACAGACTTTTTAATCTATATGATGAACTATAGTATCATATTTAGAATCAAGTTGTAAAAACAAAATTATCTCTATTCCCAAATCAGTGTGTGAGAGCTTAATAAAACATTAGACGTGTGAGATGTTTCTTAACAACAGATAATATATATATATATGCGAATTTAAAAATTGAAAACAAATTACATGTTTGTTGAAAGGTTCATGAAAACATAGTCGTAAGGTTTCAGAATCCAAAATCTGAAAAAATCTATGTATTTACTTAACAATGACTATTTTAAAAGTGTGACATTATTTATTAAATGGGAAATACAAGATTTTTTACACTGTGCTTAATATTTTCTTCGTTCTTTACGCATCAAAAATAGCGGTGTCGCTCTTTACTCGTCTCCTTAAAAACAAGATAATGTTTTCTAATTTCTTTTTTCTTTAAAAGATATAAATAAACTTTACTTCATCCTAATATAGTCAATATATTTTGCGTACGATTTTGTAAGCGTTATCCTCTGTGTCTGTATTATTTCGATCAGGGTTTGAAAGTATGTAATTTTCAATATGTAATTATTTTGGTTCTGACAAAAATGCGTTAGAAAACTTTGTTTGAATGGGACGACTTTGTAGACTGAAAAAATTCATTAATTTTCAAAGCTATTTCAGAACTTGAAATTCAATGTATTCTGTTTAAATAACAATAAGTAACGAAATATAATAGTGTGTCCATTTGCTTTCTAATATCAAATAAACCACTTTGAGTAGAAGGGGAGTTGGGCATTAAAGAAATTTTTACTCGTCTATTATTGTTAGCAAATTTTGCAAACTTCAAGAATTGTTGGATTACCGCCCCTTGATGATAATCACCGGTGAGGCTATCTTTGAAAGCCTTTCTCCTTTGGCTTGTAAAGCGACAAGACACGTTTCTTTCTCGCCCCGATAGACACAAGGCATGTAAGTACTTCAGCGACACATAATTTATTATTTCTACTTCATTCATTAATTGTAGGTTGTTTGAATTTCATGTTTCGTTTCTTATTTTTACTCGGTCTCACATGAGTCCGCCAAATATTGTTTGCAGGACAAATGTAGCAGGAGGCATAACATGAATAACTTTCATTCAGCAACAGAATATAATACCTTGCTTCATAACAGTTTTAAAAGAATACTTGGATTTCTGTATTTTGTTTTCAATATTTAAAAAATCTTCTTTTTTACAAATTATGTATTTTTAAAGAAATAGTGAATGAAAAGGAAAAGAACTGTCAGATAACAAGATAGAAATGAAGGGAAGAGAGACTCACAAAAAGACTGCACCGAGAGAGAAAATGAAATTCCAAGCTTCTTCTTTGTGTTGTTATTTATAACATTTCGGTCGATCTATTCTACAGACATTTTGATGCGTATAATTTGTTAAGAAATAGATCTTAAAATCGCTGGAGGATAGACCAGACGAAACGATGTGTTAACACCAGCAAGACAAAAAAAGGAGTTTACTCGTCCAAATAAAGTTTGAAATGTCTTTACTGAAATTATTCTGCTTATATATTAATATAAATCAAGTAACATTAAGAAACAGGTTTAGTTCTACATCAGAGACTGCAAACTATTATTATTGATTTAAGTGCCATGAGTCAAGCACAGATACGCTTAACAGACAAAAACTGACACTAAATTTGAAGTCAAGAATGTTTAGTGGCATATTTACTGATGAGTAAAACTAATACTTACATTATATTACATTTAGATCGTTATTGCGAAATGACTTACCCGAAGAGAAGTTAGAAATTCATCAAAATCTACAACTCCATTGCCGTCTTTATCAAACCTGGTGAATAAATCTTGTAATTGGTCTTGTTCTAGGGAGAGGCCGTAGTCATGGATGCCTTTCTTGAACTCTGAATAGTCAATTCTTCTGTTCAAGTCATCGTCGATAATCTTAAACATCCTGGAAAGATTAAAAATAAATAAATTAACGACTTCTTGCTTTATTCACTTATGAATGAAATCATTGATATTTGTATACCATAAGTCATAGCTATGGGATTTTGTCAGTTCGACGAAATCTCTGATTTTATGAACATGTCGGAGTTAATTCCTCCTTAATTGTCCAAACTGTTCACTAGGGGACGCTCTCCCTACACTATAAATACTGGGCGATTTCTTGCCTCGTCCTCTTTTTCATTTCTTCATTTTCAGCGAACACATCTACAATATAAGCTCTCGCAGAAGATTGCGTCTTCTCATTTGTGAGGGATGCCGTGAACATTATACACACATACATGTACGTACGAACATTCACCCAAAATATAAACTCTTTACGTTCACACACAAACACAAATGTTAATGTCTATGTCCATTGTAAATTTTGTAGTTTAATAGATATATATATGTATTTGTTGATATATATATATATATATATATATATATATATATATATATATATATCGGACTTGTTTGTTTTCTTTACACTTCTTCATGGTGGACTCAATCTCTGAGTCTGCCATGTTCTTATAGCCGACCTTCTTCTAGCAGAAATAAACGCACGTGTTCCTAATTTAACAACACGTAAACACCCATGGTACGCTACAAACAACAGCTTAATATTTTTTAGACATAGCAAAACAACACATCAGTAATAAGTGTTAACTGGAAGAATTAATAAATATTGAAAAAATCTTTTCTCTAAAATTTTCTTTTATGAATTTTGTAAATCTTGAAACGATATTTGAGAAAGAGAATACTTTATTTAAACACACAACTATTATGTCTTTTGAGTATAGCGGACGAGTGAATTTGGAGTAATTTGTCTAAAACTCATTTCTTCAAGTCACACACAGAATGGCGATGACTATAGAACAAAATATCAAATGCCGAATTCCGAATTAGATATCCAAATTTCTCTCTCTCATTTTGTGTGTCTATGTGTGTGTGTGTTTCTCTCTAAAAGTAGTGGTACCAGATATTCTACTGCTATATTCTAGTGTCGGGCAAGATAAATGCGTAAATATCCATATTTCACCAGAAACATTCAAATGTTGTCATAAAGACATTTAGTTAAATATATACGATATGCAACTTTAAATTGACGAGATTTTTTCTTATATGCAAGGAGTTTTACTGCATCAGAATATTTGATAAATTTAACCCTTAAATGTTACGAAAAATTCTAAAAGGGTTTCTTTGTCGGACAGGCAATCACTTATACAAGATCACTTTTGTCGATTCTAGATTGTTTTCAATATTGAAACCAAAACTCAAATCCTAAGATTCAGCGATGGCAATTATAAAAGCTGTTATCATTTCTGCTTTCATGAGATGCATAAAACATTTCTTTACGTGCACTTTCTTTTGTGTACGTGTTGAGTAGTTATAAATTTGTAGAAACGATAACACTTGTAATAAAGCCTTCATCAATTGACCATAGTTTCAGAGCTAAAACATAATTGTACCAGTCCTGTTGTTACAATTTAAGAATGCCAACTCTATTTAGATACTGCCTCTTCTTTACCTTAAGGAATCTTCATATATTTCATTCTTTCTAATTCATTTATTTCTTTTAGACAATATGGTTTTTCGTTTCTACAAGTTACCTGTTCAATGTGTTACCGATTATTACTGAAAGAGTCTGTAACGCTTTAGATAAAAATGGCAAAGAATGGGCTGTGGCTTTAGATGTCTCGAAAGCTTTGAGAGGATTAGGCAATGCTGGTCTTCTTGACAAGCTAAAGGGCTGCGGTATCTCCTGAAATTTTTTTTGATTTGATTCAATCTTTCTTAAATTCGTAATAGAAATTATCTTGAATGGAAACTCTTCTAGATCATTTTCGTATTAGACCTACTTTGTTTATCTTCATCAACGGCCTTCCCGATGTCATCAGTTCTCGAGTCGGTATCTATGCTGATGACTTAAGTATTTACTCCTGTCTTAATAGTAAGTCTGATAGGTTCGATAAAGTTGCAAGTGATCTCAAAACAAATATTCAATCCGTTGTTAACTGGGTGTGTATTCAAATAAAGACAAACACATATGTAGGGAAAAATACTGGTATATTTGAAGAGGTATTTAACAACAGAGTGATTAGTAATAACGAACGCAGGTTAGTAATAACAATTAGCAAGAGTCTAAAGTCCAACGGTAACTTCCGGTCGAGAGACGGAAGTGCAATGGTCACCTGATCTCCAGATCTCTCGATGAACGTCCCTGATCTCTCTAGCACTGACCTATATCGTAGAGGGATCAGTCCATTCTCAGTCAGAAGGTGGGTGCGCCCCAACACCCCCCAAAAGTTGTTTTTTTACATTGTGAAAAAAAAAAAATTTTTTTTTCAATATTTTTTCCTTTTCGGGTCCATTATGAATTGTTGCGTCGCTTTTCGCCTTCTACCAGATCTGCGCTGTTTTTGCTCTGTCTGTGGTATTTGTAAATCAAGAGTATCATATAAATCGTGTAATTCGTCTTCTTGCAGAGTTTCTTCGGTACTCCTTTTCTTTAGCTGGTTGATGTGCCTTTTATGGGTAAATTTTTTCCCTTGTACAATGTACACCATATTTCCAATCCGCTTTTGTATGACTCCTGGTTCCCACGATGTCGAATTATTTTTGTAGTTCTTGAAAAAAAACTTTCATTTATGTGGAATTTTCGCTTAGGAACCATAACGACTGGTGTGTGTACCTTATTTTCAGGTATCAACTTATCAAATGCAGATCTGATCTTCCCTGCAAACATTAGTTCCGCAGGTGATAGGCTTGATGGGTCAGGTTTATTTGGAGTAATGCGGTATACTTGCAGGAATAGCTGTAACGCTGTTCTAGTCGGGGTACCTGTTGCTTTCCTAAGAGCCCTTTTCAGCGTATTGACAAACCTTTCGGCTAGTCCATTGCTGCGTGGGTGATACGGAGGAATCCTCACGTGATCCACTTGGAAATTTTGGCAGAATTCTGCGAATTCTTTGCTCGTTGTCACTAACCACAGTATCTACCACTCCAAAACTTGCAAATAATTCATGCAATTTATTAATTGTATTTTGAGATGTTGGCCTCTTCATTTGGAAAACTTCGGGCCATTTACTAAAGCTGTCAACTACGACCAAATAATGCCACCCGTCAATTGGACCCGCAAAACAAATATGAATCCTTGACCATGGCCTGTCGGTTTTTGGCCATGACTTCTGTAGAATTTGTGGTGATTTTGATGCCAAAATGCAGCCTTTACATCTGCCGACCATAGACGCGATGTCGTTGTCCATACCTGGCCAGTAGACGTATGCTCTCATGAGGCTCTTCATTCTATTTATGCCGGGGTGACCAGCATGAAAATCTTTTAATATTCTTTTTTTGGAGTGTACTAGGGATTACCACCCTTTCACTGTATATTAGTACATTATCACACAGAGAGAATGTCTCTTGAATTTTTTCGTCTTTTTTAGCTAGCTTATCTTTTATTTCCATTATATATTTGTCTTTTTCTGCTTCTTTTTGATGTCCTTGTCCGATACTGGTAATTCTCGAATTGCGTTCGCCAAATTTTCTTCAACCTCGTCCTCTGCTCTGAGGGATGCGATTACCGTATCCTCTAATGGTTCCGTTGCTTTCGGAATGAGTCTTGATAGACCATCTGCGTGACCAATTTTGTGGGTGGACAAATATTGTATTCTAAAATTATAATTTAACAAAATTGTTCCCCACCTAAGCAATCTATTTGCGGTGTAGGTTGGCAGACCCTTTTTTTTTTTTAACCGAATATCGTTACCAGATGCTTGTGGCCTGTCTGTAGCGTAAGATACCGTCCATGTATGTATCTATGGAATTTTGTTACAGCGAAGATAATCGCCAATGCCTCTTTTTCAATTTGTGAATAGTTTCGTTCAGCAGGTAGTAGCGATCTGCTTGCATGAGCGATTAGTCGAACTTTACCATCCTTCCACTTGTGCAATATGCACGCACCTACGCCGTGTGTACTGGCATCGCTCGCCACGATGATCTCTACCTTTGGATCAAAATGTACCAGAAATAAATCTGATGTCAATTTTTCTTTTATATCCTTAAATGCTTGCTCGCATTCTTTTGTCCAAATCCATGGTTTTTCTTTTTTTAGTAGATCGTTAAGGGAATCTCGTAGAATGTGGAGGTCTGGGATAAAATCCTGGTAATATGACACCAAGCCTAAAAAACTTTGTAGGGATTTAATATCCTTTGGCTCAGGCATATCTTTTATTGCTGATGCTCGACTTTTATCTGGCTTTTTTCCTTCTTTATTTCACTATATGTCCCAGATACTTGATCTCCTCTAGGAGAAAATCGCATTTATTTTCTTTCACTCTAAATCCATAGCTTCTTAATCTTTCGAAAACTTTGCGTAAATGGTGTTTGTGTTCATCCACCGATTCACTTTTCACGAGTATATCATCGAGATATGCTATCGTGTAGTCTAACCCGGATAACATAGTATCAATTATTTTCTGGAATATTGCGGGTGCTGTCTTCACCCCGAACGGTAAACGTTCGTATCTGAACAAGCCTTTATGCGTGTTAATGCATAGCAACTTTGCGCTTTCGTTATCCATGGGTACTTGCAAGTATGCCTCGCTAAGATCTATTTTCGAAAAGATTTTTCCGCCATTTAACTTTGCGAACACTTCTTCGGGACTTGGTAGTGGATAGTGATACTCTTCTATTGCGTCGTTTAACCCGGTTGAAAAATCGGCGCAGACGCGAATTTCGCCCGACTTCTTCTTTACGTAGACAGCCGGAGCTGCCCAGTCACTGTATTCCGTTTTCGAGATCACACCAATTCTCGTTAGTCTTTCGAGTTCTTGGTCAATTTTCTCTAATGCGGCAAAAGGGATGCTACGCTTTTTTTTTGAAAATTGGTTGAATATTTTTTCAGCTGTATTTTTGCTGATGCTTCCGTGCAATGTCCAAGTCCTTCAGCAAAAATTTCGGGGA